CTGATAGAAAGAGAATTATGACAGAACATTAGGAACAACTGTATGACAACAAACTAGATAACCTAGATGAAATGGACAAATTCTTAGAAGCACACAACCTACTCCAACTGACTCAAGAGGAAATACAAAGCTCAACAGACCCATAACAAGTGAAGAGATCAAATCAGAGATCAAAAACCTCCCAACAAAAAAAAAAAGTCCTGGGCCAGATGGCTTCACTGGGGAATTCTAAAGCATTTAGAGAAGAACTGACACTAGTCTGTTTAAACTCTTCAAAAATAAAGAAGAAAGGAATACTCCCTAATTCATTCTATGAAGTAAACATAACCCTGATATCAAACCAAAGACACCACAAAAAAAGAAAACTATAGGCCAGTATCTCTTATGAATACAGATGCAAAAATTCTCAACAAAATACTAGCAAACAGAATCTAATAGCATATTAAAAGAGTCATACACCATGACCAAGTGGAATTTATTCCAGGAATGCAGGGATGGTTCAGCATTAGAAAATAAAACAACATAATACACCACGCCTCAACAGAACAAAGGAAAAAATCATATGATCATCTCTATCGATGCAGAAAAAGCATTTAATAAAATCTAATACCCTTTCTTGATGAAAACCCTAAAAGAGGATTGGAATACAAGGGAAATTCCTCAGTATGATTCAGGGCATATATGAAAAGCCAACATTACACTTAATGGAGAAAGACTGAGAGCTTTCCCCTTGAAATCGGAGTAAGACAAGGGTGCCCACTCTCACCACTTCTATTCAATACTGTATTAGAAGCGCTCGTCAGAGCAAATTAAGAAAAGGAAATAAAAGATATCCAGATTGGAAAAGAAGTAGTAAAATTATCTCTTCGTGGATGATAGGATCCTATATAGAGAAAATCCCAAAGAGTTCGCAAGAAAACTTCTAGAGCTAGTAGAGGAATTTAGAAAAGTTTCAGGGTACAAAGTCAACAAACAAAAATCAGTTGGGTCAGCAATGAGAAATCTGAAAGGGAAACTGGGAAACAGTTCCATTTACAATAGCATCTAAGAGAATAAAATACCTAGGAATAAACCTAACCAGAGACATGGAGGACTTATACAATAAAAACTATAAAACATTGCTGAGAGAGATTAAAAAAATAAATGGAAAGATGTTCCATGTTCATGGATCGGAAGACTTACTATCGTTAAGATGTCAATACTACTCAAAGTGATCTACAGAGTCAATGCAACACCGATCAAAATTCCAAGGCTTCTTTACAGAAACAGAAAAACCAATCTTCAACTTTATATGGAATGAGGATCCAAATAGCCAAAACAATGTTGAAAGAGAAGAACGAAGTAGGAGGACTCAGACTTCCTGATTTTAAAACATTATTATACAGCTACCAAAACAGTCTGGTACTGGTATAAAAACAGACACACAGACCAACGGAACAGAAATGAGAGTCCAGAAATAAACCCACACATGTATGGTTATGGTCAACTGATTTTTGACAAGCGTGCTAAATCCATTTGACGGGGAAAGAAGAGTCTCTTCAACAAATGGTGCTGGGAAAACTGGATTTCCAAACGCAGAAAACTGAAACAGGATCCATGCCTCACACCATATGCAAAAACAAATTCAAAATAGATTAAGAACCTAAATGTGCAAACTAAAACCATAAAATTCTTAGAAGAACAAGCAAGGGCAACTCTGTCAGGCCTGGCTTTTAACAATGGATTATCTAATAATAAAAGCACAAAGAGCTAAAGACAAAATAAATAAATGGGACCTCACAAAAATTAAAAACTTTTGTTCATCAAAAGACTTTACAAAAAAGTGAAAAAACAAGATACTGACTGGGAAAATATCTTTGGAAACCATATATCCGACAAGAATCTAATAACAAAATGTATGTAAAACTTCGAAAACTTAACAAAAAAGACAAATAAAGCAATCATAAAATGGGCAAAGGACTTGAATAGACATTTCACCAAAGAGGACACTCAAATGGCCACCAAACACATGAAAAGATGCTCAGCATCATTAGTCATCAGAAAGATGCAAATCAAAATCACAATGAGATACCATTTCACTCCCACTAGGGTGCCTAAGATTTAAAAAAAAATAAAATAAAATAACAAATGTTGGTGAGGATGTGGGGAAATCGGAACCTTTATCCATTGCTAGTGGGAACACAAAATGGTACGGCCGTTGTGGAAAACAGCGTGGTGGTTCCTCAAAAAATCAAAAATAGAATTACCATATGACCTAGCAATTCCACTGCTAGGTATATACCCAAGACTTGAAAGCAGATTCAAAAAGAGACTTGTACACCAATGTTCACTGCAGCACTATTCACAATAGTCCAAAGGTGGAAAACAACCTAAATGCCCATCAACAGATGAATGGATAAACAAAATATGGTACATACATACAATGGAATACTACTCAGCTAGTGGGAGAAATTAAGTCTTGATACATGCTACAGTATGGATGGAGCTTGAAGACACTGAGTGAAATAAGCCAATCACAAAGGACAAATATTGTATGACTTCACTTATATAAGACAACAAAAAAAGGTAAACGTATAGAGACCAATGTTTATTAGTGGTTACCAGGAGCGGGGCGGGGAGGGGGGGAAGGGGATTAACAGTGATGGAAAAATCCCATTGATTAAAGGTAGGGTTCCACAGCCAGTTATTGTAATTGCTGTCAATAAGTTGTACACCTGTAATTGGCAAAAGTTGTGTGATAGACATATTTACATACTTTTAAAACCACAACAACAAAAAAAAAAAAGTAGCTGCTGAGGCTGCTTGTGTACAACCAAACACTTCTTGGGATTTGGTTCCTTGGTTTGGAGGTTTAGGGTCATGGTTTCAGGTGACATTCCAGTGAATTGGCCTAATAACGTGTTTAGTGCTTCTGATCTACCTCCTAGTTCATTGCGTAGTGCCTGGGGTCTTAAAAGCTTGCAAGTGGCCATGCAGGGCTCAACAACTGGTCTCTATTCACCTGGAGCAACAGAAGGAGAGTCAGGAATAGGAGAAGGATATGTAATGTGTGGCTAATTGCCTCCATGAACTGCCTCCTTTGCCATGAAACCAAGAGAAACTTGGTGCTGGCTACCATTACTGAACATTTTGATCCATAGAAGAATCTTGATCAAAAGGAGAAAATGCAGAACCAAATTTCAAATTCTCACAGACTTCAGACTTTCTGGAGCCACTAAGAGTGGATGAACCTCTGAAACTATTGCCCTGAGATAATCTTTAAACGTGAACAAAACATGTCCCCAGGAGTCATCTTAAAACCTAACAACAGCTTAGCTTAATTAGTAAAAAAACGTCTGCCTTGAGCAATATGCTCTTTCAAGAACTATCTCTATGGGCTCAAAGTGACGACAGCAACTCAAAAGATTAGACAGGAACCTTAGGGAGCAGTGAGTTTATGTTAATGAGGAACAACTCAGAAAAGGAGAATGAGAATGGTTGCCCAACTCGAAGAAGGTAATCAGTGTTATTAAATTATACATGCAGAAACTGTTGAATTGGTGTATGCTTTCCTGTGTATATTCTCAACTACAAACTAAATACAATTTTGAAGAATAATAAATAAATAAAAATGTGAATGTAAAAAGAAAATACTGTATCTGCCACACAAAGTAGCTGAGACCTTTGGAAAATACTCTAGGGGTTCTATACCTGTCTGCTGTTCTGTTCCCAAACTAAAATGCTTCTAAAACCGATACTTAAAAGAAAATCCTAAAACAAGCACTGTTTTGATCACTTGCAGATCATTTCTTCTATCTCTCAAACACGCTTCAATGTCTCCCTTTCTTGAAAATAAAAACTCAAGGAAAAAAGAACAAAATAATTCTAGATTCCTGCGAACTTTCCAGTATGTTGCCCAGCTCTGAATGAGCTTGCTTCTTAAGTAGGTGACTGAGAAGCTCAAGGATTTTCAAAAAGTTTTGAGGAAGGCAGCTGGATCCAGATGTTCATAAGTTCTACTCTCCTCTCCTAAATCGAAAAAAATATTACAGGAAAAAAGAAAAGGCAACGGGGTAGTATTTGTAAGCAAATGGGGTAGTTCCAGGATGTAAAAAGTCAAGCGACAAGAGGAGAAAATCAACCCTTTAGAGCCCGAGCAAGTAATTAATTCTTTCCCGCATCAGTTTTTCTTTCAAAACAAAAGGGCACACACAATCTTTCCCGAGGCAACAACACCAGGGGAGAGCAGCCAAAATGTTGCATCATACAAAACACTCCGCGTTTGAGAAACAAGAAAACCAGATAGTGGGAAAATATCTAAGAAAGGAAAGCCCAAGTGGGGAATCTCGGTCTTTTCCGGCAGTCCAGGAGTGTGTCTTTTTTTTTTTTTTTTAATTTTTTAAGATTGCATCGAAAACTAAAGTTATGGTTTCATATCTATGGAGAGCGAAATGTTCTTTAAAAAGCGTTTTGAGAAGTTCAGTTCATCATCTCACGACTGTCTGGAGGCTGCCGCTCCCGGGTTAGGACTAGATCTGGGAGCGCCAAGGGGTGGGGTCGGGTCGGGGACCAAGTGCCTGGGTGGGGTGGGTGACAGGACGCTCCCCCGCCCTCATCCTGGGGAGTAGGGGCCTCTGGGGTCACCGGAGGGGGAGATCCGCGTTCCACATGGCAGCTCTTTCCTGACCCAGCAGGGCGCAGGACGACGGCCCGCTGCGCGCGCGGAGCCCACGCGGTTGCAGGCGGGGAGGTCCGCCGTCCCGTTTCTGCTGGTTTTCTGTGTTCCAGTTCCCATCCCGCTCCCAGGACGGGCCCTCGGAGGCGGGAAGGCGCGGGTGACCGGAGACAATGGGCCGGGGGCGCGGGTAGCAGCGCTTCCCTCAGACCCGGGTGCGGGGCGCCGCGCGGGGGCGCTTCAAGCACGCCGGGGCTGAGGAGCGCCCCACACCCGGGACACCGCCCCCCGCGGCCGGGCAGACGCCGAGGGCTCATCCGGGCTGGGCAGTGGGGAGAGTGCTCACCTTGACGAAGAGCTCGATGATAGGCTCTTTGTCCTCCTCCTTCAGCCCGTTCAGCGGCATCGACAACGCCATGGCCGGCTCGGCTGGGCTCTGCGGACGGCGGCAGCTGCTGCTCCGAGGCTGCTCTGGCTGCCGGCTCCCGCCGCTCTGCGTCTCCCTCACGAGTCCCGGTGTCAAGCTCGCGGTCACCACAATTGCTCAGTACCGCCCGACGTCCCGCGAGCTACTCTGAGGCGTCCGCAGACCCGGCCGCTTCAAACCGCGGGGCGTGGCGCGGTGGGGCGGAGCCCGGGCAGGGGGCGGGGCCAAGGCCTTGCGTCTTCAGACTCTCCAAAGGAAATGAGGCGGCCGGAGCTCGGGGGCGAGGCCTCGGGAGGGGAATGCGGAGGGACCACCCTGGCGCCAGCGGAGAAACAACTCGGACGTCTCCGGGACCTGCTAAGGAGGGGCGAGGTCTAGAGGGGCGTGGCCGTGGTGGGGGGCTGTCCGAAGCTCTGCCTCTGAGGAGCGGTGGGCGCGGTGCCGTCCCGCGCCTCCCGAGAGGCGGGAGGGAAATTCCCCCGGAGACCTGAGCCTGACACCGCCTCCCGTTTCAGCGAGGGCCCGTCCTCCGCAGCTGCGGCTGGTGCAGTGCCAGGTTACCTCACGCGTTTGACCTGCCTGGAGAGGCAAGAAGGCGCCTCTCGCCCTCTTCCCCGTTACCGGCCCCAGGACTTGTCTCCCCTTCCCGCAGCGGCCACCTCCCCAGCTCCCTCTTACACGAGGCTGCCTTTTACTGGACAACTTTTCGGAAAGTTATTTTCATCCCCTCAGAGACACATTTTTCTTCCTCCTCCGACTTCTTAGTTTCCCTTTGACTAAACGCTTCTATTTGGGGAGCCAGCATACTAACAAATACTTACAGGCCCTGTTGTGTTCCAGGCTCTGAGCTAGGCCCTGGATATTAAACGATGCCTTCTCAGAGCCTAGTACTGAACTCCAACCCCTTTGCTTGAAGGCTACTAAGAACTCCCAAGCCATTGTCCATGCTGTTCCCCTGCCTGCACCGCTCTCTTTCTATTCGCCTCGCAAACTTGAGTTTGCATCGGAATCACCTGGATGCTACGCCCAGAGCTGTTTTATCAGATTCCCAGGAAAAGAAAGGAATTCACATTTCAACAAACTCCAGGGCAATTCTGAAGCAGGTGATCCTCAAACCAGTGAAACTGCACTGAGTTTGAAACACCTGAGGGCAGGGGCTATGATGTGCTTAGTCAGGCACGTAGTAGGCACTCCCGCCAAATTTTCTGCTGTTGACAACTTGACCAAGGCAAGGTCATAGAAGCTTCATAGACACATCCAAACTCCCTGAGGGACCCAATTACTGGACTGAGGACTGGCGACCATGGTCTCGGAGGACATTTTGCCCGGTTGGCACAACATAGTTTATAAAGAAAATGTTCTACATTTTACTTTGGTCAGTAGCATCTGGGGTCTTAAAAGCTTGTGAGGGGCCATCTAAGATACTCCACAGGTCCCACCCCACCTGGAGCAAGGGAGAATGAAGAAAACCAAAGACACAAGGGAAAGACTAGTCCAAAGGACTAATGGACCATAACTACCACAGCCTCCACTGGACTGAGTCCAGCATAACTAGAGGGTACCCAGCTACCACCACCGACTGCTCTGACAGGGATCACAATAGAGGGTCCTGGACAGAGCTGGAGAGGAATATAGAACAAAATTCAAACTCACAAAAAAAGACCAGACTTACTGGTCTGACAGAGAACTGGAGAAACCCCAAGAGTATGGCACCCAGACATCCTTTAACTCAGTACTGAAGTCACTCCTGAGGTTTACCCTTCAGCCAAAGATTAGATGGGCCCATAAAACAATAATACATGTAGCTCAACCATGTATATGAAACTCTGGGCACACCAGCCCAGGGGCAAGGACGAGAATGCAGAAGGGGACAGGAAAGCTGGATGAATGGAAATGGAAACCCAAGGTCAAGAAGGGGAGAGTCTTGACACGTCAGGAGCTTGGCAACCAGTGTCACAAAACAATGTGTATCAGTTGTTTAATGAGAAACTAATTTGCTCTGTAAACCTTCCTTCCTCTAAAGCACATTTTTTTTTTCTACTGTTGAATGTCTGGGGCAAATGTCAACATCCTCTGGAAACAGTTACTTGTCTCCTCTTTCAACTTTCTGTAATACTTGATTCGTAGCTTCTGCTCCCCACTCCCCAGGTTAGGTTGAATGGTGAGTTCTGGAATGGCCAGACTCGGGAGATTTGTCTGCATACCCTTAGTGCACAGCACATCTCAGAATGTTTGAACAAATGGAAAAGACAATGAAACTTAGAATTCCTTCCTTTCCCAGCAAGTTGCTCCAATCGAATTTTCTTGCAGTAACTATTAAAGAGATAGTGTATCCCAAAGATTAGGGCCACTCTGGAGTCAGACTGTTTAAATCCTGACACCTGAAGGTCCTTAAAACTTCAAAACCTCAGTTTCATTACCTACAAGGGGATGGGGCTAATTACTGGTACTTGCGTGACCTTGTATCAGCTCAATAATGGCTGTTGTCTCTGCACTGGGCCTTGTACCGTCTCTATTCACCCCTGCAGGCCATACTCAGCTCGCTCAGTGACCAGCTTGTTTGTTGTCAAGAAATAAAGTCCACCAGGCTGCCCCTTAGATGAGGATATGAACCAAAAACTAACTGAACTGACTGCCTGGATTCCGAATTGGATCCAGTGTTAATTTTTCACCAAACCATGAACTGAACCAAAGTCCCTTCCAAGGCTCTCCCTCCGCCCCAAATGAAAAGGAACAAAAATGGTGAACCAGTTCAAAGCAGACCCAAGCCAAAAGATGATCAAATGTCCCTCAAAGAAAGCCCCAGCCTAGCTCTGAGGCAAGGAATGTTTGGTGTGTGGTGGCGGGGAGGGAGAGTGTTCCTGTTTTCTGAGGTGTGCCTGAGAGGTTAATCGAATTCAGTTTGAGTCAGCAAATAGTCCCTATGGTGAGAGTGCTGTAGGCCCACTCAGGATCCCAGTACCAGGTATGGAGATGACTTGACCAAGGAAGAAGGAAGAAGCCAGGGTCCTTCAGGCCTCATTGACCAGATACAGATATTATGTGGGAGAAAGTGAGTGGTATTCCCCTCTACAGAGCCCTGAGGCAGTGATGATCTCTCAGGGACTCTCTCTTCCCCCAGAAATCCCCCCAGGCCGAGGCTCCAGAGCCTGCGCTTAGAAACCTGTTACAATCACTCACACCTAGTGTTTCCCAAATATTTCCACCCTCATGTGGCTCCCTTACATAGACAGAGCTGGTCTGGGGAGATAAAGAGGGAAGAGATATTTACACAGGGGAGGTACCATAAACATGAGGCATTCAAGTCTCCTCTTCCAACTTTAACAATGCCCGCATGCTTTGTATTCAAACTCCTGTTTGTTTTTATAACATGCGCCTGCGGGGGCACGCACACACACACACACACAAACCTTGAAGATGGGTGGAGATACTCACACAACCCTTGAAGATGGGTGGGGATACTCTCTTTCACACACCCTTTCTGCTTTATCTCCTACTACTTTCCTCTTTGTTCACTCCACTTCAGCCACATTGACCTCTTTGCTGTTTTCTTGAGCCTACCAAGGACACTCTGCCTCACGGCCTTTGCACTTCCTCTTCTCCCTGTCTGGAACTTTCTTCCCCTGGAATTCTGCAACTCTCACTCCCTCACCTCCTTCAGGTCTTTCTCAGATGTCACCTTTTCAGGTACATCTCCCCAAATACCACCAACTCAATACTGCAGGCTGTTCTATCTTACTCCACCCTCCAATTTATTTTTCTCCATAACACTTATCACCATCCAATATATATTTTACTTATTTATTTGTTTATTATCAATCTCCTCCTACTAGGGAGTCCCTGTGATGGCACAAAATGGTCAAGCTATGAGTCAGAATCAAGTCCACAGCAACGAGATGCCTAACTCATACATCATCAGGAAAGACTAGTCACTAGAAAAGATCAGAGAAAACGAGGGAAACCCTCAACAAGGTAAATTGACACAATAACCAAAACAATGGGCTCAAACAATCACGAAGATGACTCAGGACCTAGTAATGTTTCGTTCTATTATACAGAAGGTCACCATGATTTGGAGCTGACTCCATGGCAACTAACAACAACAACATGCCTAATTCAGTACCTGACACATAATAGAAATTCAATCAAACCAGGCTGAGTGAAAGAAAAAAATAAATGTTCAAGCATTGCATTTAGTCACCCATCTCCTAAGTTTCATTATCATTTGTTTCCTCACTATAGCTATCACATAACAGGTGCTCAGTTAGTCTCTGTGATACCAGTCAACCCAGCTATGGAAAATCCCAACTAAGCTTTGGACTTCAAATGTATCCCCAAGGATACGTATCCCTAAAGGTCTTAAGTCTGGCTGAAGTTTATCCTGTCTTGAATGCTGTGTCCACAAAAGCACCAACCTTTCCAGCCTCCCTGTAGATCTAGGCTCCTGTAGGGGCAGGCACCCACTCAGCAAACACAGGAGCTGGAGACACCTTTTGCTTCAGCTTTTCCAGACTCTAGGAACAGAGTTCCAGTTTGCGGATGCTCCAAGTTTATGACTCCAATGCTCCCTGGCCACAAGCCCCGGGAGATGGACCTTCATTGTAGGGAGGACCATCCAGGTACCACTGTAACAAGGATATAGTAGAGAAAATTGAGACTCAGAGATGTCAAGCAGTTTGCCTAGGATCACACAGCTGGTAAATGGGAAAGCTTATAATCAAACCCAGATCTCGTTGTCCTCATTGCCCATGCCCTGGCCAGCCGTTTGCTCATAATGCCAGCCTCAAAGAGTCCTTGGAGTGTTGAAAAAAGGTGATGCATAAAGTTTTTGGCACAATGTAGACATTCAGAAAATGTCACCCTCTGCTTCTGCACACAACCCCCACCAACTCCATCTCTCCTTTGCCTAACAGTACTGAGCTTAAAAGGTTTTGCATGACAGGCCTCGGTTCAAATCTCAACACTGCCACTTACTAGCTTAGGCAAATCATTTCACCTCACTGAGCCTCAGTTTCTTCTTCTGGCAAGTGGGGGAATAATGTCTAGACTAGAGGCTTGTGTTGAGACAGAGAGGGAGGAGTAAGTTTACACAAGTGTGAGGGGTCATTACCTGTTGCCGTCGATTCTGACTCATAGTGACCCTACAGGACAGAG